TGGGCACGTCTGCACTGGGACGTCGTCTAGTTTTTTGGTGGGCCCATCTGCACCTGCACATGATCATCATGTTTAGCCCTCTCAAGAATACTTCCTACATTTTATGGACACATGATGCTGTCGTTAACAGATAAATAGATCATAAAAAATATTTGTATTCAGGGTTGACAACACCTTCTGACCAGTGTGACATATTATTGAGTTCATCCATGTACCATACTAACACAGAAATCTTTGCGTATTATATACGTAATGTTTCAAATAGCAGATCCAACATGTTCGCAGTGTAGCTCCAATTCAATCATCACATTCTTTAAAAAAGGAAAACGAAGATGCAATTCCATCAAATTAAATATTTTCCAGTTCCCTTTTGGTTGCTCTGTGCTTTTAAAATACCATTAATCTTCAGAAATCCAGACCTTAATCTACTTGGGGAACCAAATATTGAATTGTGCTCCATGAATCACTAGCCCATCATGATATTGAAATCCCATGTACAATGCCACACACAGTACATGCAATAAAGAACAAAGGGGGATGTTGCATTTATTAAATAAAAAATGCCATTACTTTTCTGCTATTTCTATAGTAGAAAAATCTATTATCCTTAATTGGACATATCTAGATTGAAGATTGGAGTTCAGTTTGGTTCTTAGAGGGTTAATGGGCACACATTGATTTGTGATGTCACCGGATCCTGAAAGCTTTCCTGGACTCAAGCCAAGAGCTGATGAAAATATGCTTTTGGGCTAAAACAAACTGAAGTTGTAAGTCAATATAAGGTATAGGTGCTGGTATAGTTTTATTAGCTTGTATGCCTGGGAGGTAGACACACATTACAATTCTTGCTGTCATTGAACAGTTCCATAACAGGAGATCTGTGAAAACGGCTTTGATTTGGTCAGAGTTCGAACACATATCCTGTGCTTTGATTACTGCTTTTTTGCCTAATTGATTAAAGGCAGAGCCAAAAACATTTTTTTGTTCCATTTCAACAGCCGACTGTAATATCCCATGGGTCCACAAAACTATAAAAGCAGTTCTAAGTGGCATCTTGTCACAACAAATTGTCTATGATGTTTTTCAATAAATAAATACTTTGGGATTTCATACATTTGAGATCTGAAAACCTCTTTATACACACTTCAGACACATTAGGTTGGAGAATCGGATGGGTCTAGTGCCAGCATCTTCACACTTAGCAGGGATATTATCAATTTAATTTTGGTTCTGTGTGTAGAGCACCCAGAAAACAGGTAGTGAAAACACAGATACTGTCCCCTGAGTGTATACAGTCATACAGCTACAGTACAGTGTTGCCAGCAAAGGCGCTAAGTTTGTTTAAACTATGCACCTTGGCAGGGCTGGTGCAAAGATCAATTTTGCCGCCCCCTCATGTCGCTCACTCATTGACAGACACACACTGGCAGACACACACACTCACTGAGAGACACACACACTCACTGACAGACACACACTCACTGACAGACATGCAATCACTCACTCACTGACACACACACACAGAAACTCACTGACAGACATACACTCGCTGACAGACAGACAGACACACACACACACACACAGACACTTACTGACAGACATACACTCACTGACAGACATACACTCACTCACTGGAATACATACCTACACTCACTGACAGACACACAAACACACACTCACTGACAGACATACACTCACTGACAGACATTCACTCACTGATAGACACACACACATACACACACTCACGGACATACATACACAGATAACCACCTCCTGGCTCCCCTGTAACAGGGCTCCTCTCGGCGCCCCCACCTTCGGGCACCTTGTGCATCAGCCCGATGCTGGGGGCAGCTCATGAGCCGCTCGCCTAGCAGACAGGAAACATCCCGGTGGGCGCCCCCAGCATGCCGGCGCCCTAGGTGAATGCCTAGTTCGACTAGCGGTTGCGCCAGCCCTGTGTGACCTTGGTGGTATTGTAGCCACATTGTAGCAATGATCTGCTTGGAACTATGTGGATGGTGCTATACAATGACAAAGTCACTTTATAAAAGTTTGTAAAATTAGATACAGAATATGATTTTTAGAAATGGTAAATTAGAAGCAAAAGCACATGTTTCCATCTACTTAAAGGGTCACTCTAGGCATTATAACATTTCATAATGCAAAGACGACCTTACACCCACTTTCAATACTGAGAATATGTTATGACTACCGTAACTTATTAAAATCTTTGCAGCTATCAGACAGCTCCCAAGTATCATGGAGAGTGAATGGCCAGGAAGTCAAAATAGGGCATTAATTTGAGGTTTCCTCCTCTCACCACATTCCAGTTATAGTTCCAGTGTCAGACTGGGCATGGCCGCCCATCCAGCCATGCTACAATCCATTGACATTGTGGGGATAGAGTGTAATGTGCATCATTTTCAGCTGTTACCTGGCACACACCCCTTAGTACACCCCCTTAGTACAGCGACAGTATTCATTTTTTTCCAATGGTAATCTCAGTGACAAAACGCATGTTTTGAAGAAAGGTCTAGCTTTCTGTTTATTAGAGGTGGAAGAAAAAGATGATATTTAAATAGATTTCAAAATACATGTAATGAGAGCAAATCTTTGTACTCATTTAAAGGATCATTCCAATCACCATTACCACGTTAGTGATTTAAAGTGGTTATGGTGCTTTGAGTCTGTACGTGCAGTGTTTCGCTATGAAATGCTGCACATACAGAGTTTAACTCTACCTTCGTCAGCATCAATATGACGTCAGCCTGGAACAAGAGGTATGGGCTGGCAAATATCAGGTCTGTGCATATGGGGCGTCAGGTTTCCCTGGACTGAAAAAGGAAGGGAAAGACATGACTGCTGCCCAGGGAGGGGGGATGGACAAAAGGGGATACATATGTAGCGAGAAGGGACCTGGTATATAAGGGAATCTGGGGGTGGCCCCTTGCCACTCAGCAGGTAGGAAGAGATCTAAAAGGAGCTTTCCCACCCTTTTTCCTCAATCTCCTTCCATCTTCCTACACCTCCTGAGAGTGTTATAAAAAAAAATAATAATAATTTTACTGACCTTCAAATTAATTACTCACCTTTGCAAGTGAAGAGCTATGGCTGTGGTGTCCAAGGATGCATTGGTGGAGATGCTGCAGGCATATCTGGTGGCGAGTGGCTCCGGGTCGTTGGGTGAAGTGATGGCCGGCCTGCAGGGTGGCAGCGACGATGCAGCAGCGGCGGAGCCTGAGGAGAGGCAGGATGACGGTAGGAGACCTAGGCGATCCAGACCTCCTACGCGCCTTTCCCCCAGCCCAGTGCGGCGAAGCAGCGGTAGGAGGAGAGTGACCGGGACGGACTGAGCGAGCAGAGCGGATGGAGGTGTCCCCTTACCTACCCGGGCTGCAGGAGGGCGGCTGCGGCGGGAAATGGATGCTGTTCGGCAGGATCAAGATGGTGGCGGAAGAGGTGCGAGGTCGAGGAGTCCGGCTTCTTTTCCGGCCCAGCCGGATATGACGTCTGAGCGCGCCCGGCGCGTGGGAAGAGTGACGTCAGCGGAGGCGCTGCGGGGCGCGTACGTGAAGTCGGTGCGCCGGAGCGCACTGACGTCGCAGGCCCCGCCATCTTGGAACCGGGCAAACCGGTCCGGAGAGCCGGGCAGCCGGGAGGCTGGCCTGGAGAGTGCCCAGGAGGCGTGGAGGGACGGCGGCCGGGTAGGCGGTCAGCTCAGAAGCTCGGGTGATGGCAGCCATGGCTGTGGTCGGCCGGAAGCAGCGGAGGATGGCGGCCTGTGGAGAGGCAGGCTGGGTCTGGAGGAGGAACCGGCAATGGGAGATGAAGACAGCGTGGAGGAGCAGGAGGAATTGCTGGAGGACCGTGTGCCTGGCAGCCTTCCTGTGTCCGGTGAGTCAGCTTGCGCAGGCGCATGGGGTAGTCTGGGTGCCAGTATAGGGGGTTCCAGGGAGGCACAAGGGGAAGTTTTGCGCTTGCTTAGGACCCTAGTGGCAGGGTTACCAGGGGCAGCACAAGGGGGGCATTAGCGTCTGCGCCAGGGCCCGCGCCTGCAGCTCCACTGTGCGCTTTTCGCCCCAGCATACCTGGGTGTGAGTTGTCTCCGCTGGGCATGCATGTCCCTAGTGAGACGCGCGAGAAGATAGTGCGTGGCGAATTTGTGGATTTGCTATCCCTGGTTCCGCCGCATAAGGATGCCGTACATAGGCCTAGACGGGGGGAGCCGGGGGAAGGGGACAAGGGCAAGCAGCTCCCGAGGACTTTTGGGAACTGGTTGCAGGGGTTTGCGGTTTTCGCCAGCGTGTTGTCCAGGCAGTTTCCGGAAAGGGCCCCTTCGTTATTTGGGTATCTAGATCTCATTTGGGGGGCTTACAAAATCTACGGCGGTCAATGCTGGTTTCGTTATGACCAGCAATTTCGGCAGAAGATGGCGGTATGCCCGGGGCTGGACTTCGGGGTGCAGGATGGCAGCCTTTGGCTGCTTCTTATGACTCCCAGCCGGCCGGCGCCCTTTGTTTGAATGTGTTATACCCCAGATAGGAATCCCATGGAGCCCATTCGTATGAAACTGACTGTAAAGACTTTGGCTCCATGGCGATTAAACTGTATTCGTGTGGTCTGAGCGCCATTCACTTAATAATGTGCGCTCAGACCTGAGCTATCTGGGGATATGTTAAATGTATAGTTTTAATGTAATGTGTCTTACCTGGTGTTTTTTAACAGTAATGCTTGTTTTGTGTCACCATGTGCATAATGGAGTCTTGTCCCTGTCTGGGGAGATAATTGAATTACTTCTCACTTATCTCCAGGGCAGAGGAGAGGAAGCCAGGATGCATTGTGGTAAAAGGTATGTGTATTGGGTTACCTCTCAGGATAAGGGGGAGGGAATCTGTGGGTTGTAACTAATATGTTACTGGATATTTTATACCTCCCTGTGGGCGGTCCTGTATTTGCAAGACTGTAATAAAAACCAGGCTGGGTGTGCCAGCACCTCAGACCACTGCTTGACCCTCAACACGGAGCTCTGTCTCGTCTTTGGGGGGATTTACTGTATGCTGCTAAGGACTGATTGCCAGGAGTGTAAGCCGCTTGTCTGCTTTTCCTGTTCGTCTGATAGCAGCAATTCGTATGGTTCCTGTTCGTGTATTTGGAGTGCTACCTTATTCCCTTGTATGCCGTTCGGGAGTTTGGAGCATTCACTTATATGCAGTTTGAGTGTTTGGAGCATTCCCTTGTATGCAGTTCGAGTGTTTGGAGCATTCCCTTGTATGCCGTTCGGGAGTTTGGAGCATTCACTTGTATTCAGTTCGTGAGTTTTGGTGATTCTACAGTAGCTGTGCCTGTCTCTGAAAGGGGATTATCGTCTAAGCGGTTTTTACCCCTTTTGTGCAAAACGGTCCGTTACAGATGTGAGATCTGTCTGATGGCTGAATCACCCCATCAGCTGACAGTTGGTTTAATGCTGGTCAAAAATGTTCAATAAAGCTGTGGCCGTTGCCCTTATCCATTATACAGGTGTTGTGTGTTTATTGGGGCAACGGGTGGGTCGTGGGTCTGCAGTCATGTAAACAACATGCCATCAGCAGATGTCCAATGCCCCTCCTCCCTGCCATCCATGTCCTCCCCTCTGCCCCTCCTCTCTGACATCCCTCACCATGCAGCTAGAGGGAGTGAGAACAACAGAGGAGGATTGGGCTACCAGGAGAACTTGGCATCAGCACTGGAACAGGGGTAATTTTTATTTATTTTTTTATTTTGGGAGGGCTGAGAAGCAGAGCAAGAGGTACTCTGAGGGAAGACAGTATTTTATTAAAATACTGGTTTTTGGTTTAACTATTTGACGCCTATAATGCAGTAGCTTTTTTTTTTTCCAGACTGTTTGAATACATATGACTGTACAGATATTCAGAGAGACACAATTACACAGTATGGCTTGTAATTTCAACTCCAAACTAATTATCTTTTATAGCACGCCTTTGTTCAAGAACCCATATGTAGATATATTTAGAAAACACAACACCACATGTTTTTCTGGGCCTCAGTTTTTTTCAAACTTAACTTTCTAATTCAATTCTGATAAATACAGTATACCCTACAAAACACTCAGACTCCTGCTGCTACCTTCATATTGCGTATCTTCTTTTGTAATGTTGTAGAAGAAGAATCTCTTTAGAATTCTATAGCTTTTCTCGTTCAATACTTTAATTAAGCAGGCCACCAGCTGAGTCCATCTATAGTCCAAGAATCTCCAGTCCAAAATAAATTGTTCTTTCAACCTTTATTTCAATTCAGGACTTTCTGCAAGGAACCACAGACTACATAATACTAGTTTGCAACCAGGCACAATAATGGCTCACATGGATACAACACAGCATAAAAGAAACTCCTTCTCGATGAAGCATTAGAACAAACCAATACCACAAAACCACTTTGAAGTCGTTTAGCATGTGGTAGCTAAAAAGATTTACTTTGCTCATATCCTTCTCTTTGGAAAGAAAAAGTCTATTTCTTCCTTTTCATCATCTATATTATTTTTTGACATTTCTTCCTGGATTAAACGCAGTCTGCGAACAGTCATATTGTTCAAGCGGTCAAAAGGAAACAGACCACCAGTAATGACTGTCATCAAAAATTAAAATTATTCAGGGAACGTATTTTCTTCTTTCATTGGATCAGGACACCTGATAAATTAATTCTTAAAAAAAAAAAAAACTGACAAAATTAGCAAGGCAAGTATTTTTTTTTCTTGAGCGCACATTTAAATATCTGTTTGGAGGAAATTCTGGGAGTCGCGAAAGGGAGAACGGAGGAGATTGAGAAGCCAGTAGATTGTTTGAAGCAAAAAAATCTGAAAAACAATAAAACTGATTGAACATACAGTTATTGGTTGCTTTGGGTAAAACTAGATGTTAATTTTTGTCTTTGAGAATCAGATCTTAAAATACACAAAGCATTTAATGATTCCATAGACATTGGTCATCAAACTGTCCTCTTTTATCATTGGAATCCCTTTTGAGGGGTATCCATGATGTTCCAGTTACATTGGATTTTCAATATATATTGCTAAATCATGAGACAAGTGTGGACGTCTTTTTCCATCACAGTAAACTGATGTGACATGACTGAAAGAAGACCAGAAACTTCTAAATAAACTCTTTTGATCTTAATATATTCTCCATAAGATATTTGCAATCAATGTGAGCCAAATGGTCCTTTCTGATATGCATATTTTCCTGTTCCTTGTGAAATATAAATGCATATCACAAACAGTTATATTAACAAATTACATGTTCCCGGACAACTAACAGTGACCCACCGTACCAGATTTCTAGAAGAATATAGAACGACTTCAATGCATAGCTGGGGTCTGCTGGGAGCAGCTCCCTGCCTCGACTACACTTTAGGGAGAGCCAGAAGCCAGTCTGATCACTCTTAGCCAATGAACTAAGCCCTGTACCTCTGGAATTAGCTCTGACCAGAGAGCTTCCAGTTCTCTGTTGGCTGTAATTAAAACACATAGCAGATCCAGGAAGAGTCCAGGTAGTGTTCCAAAACAGTTTGAATACTTGCAATATGGGGGTGTGCAAGGGTCCTCCTGCAACCATGACCACTACAATGTACTGTAGTGGTTATGGTGCTTGGAGTGTTCCTTTAATAGCTTTTCCATAAAAAAGCACTTAAATATATATTTCTTAACCAAAATCTTACCCATTATATAACTAGCATAAGGATTCCATATCATTTCTAAAAATGCAGTCTACTTTCGCCCTAATTTGCTGTATTTTTCAGGACCCCCTCATATTTCTTTTTGAATTATAATTTCCATTAGCGTGCATGTCAAGGAAATGATGATAGACAGAAACACGTATGGCCTTTCAGTATATAAATACTAAGTGCTAAATATACCGTTCTAGCACTGGTTGCGCGTTTCCTGCCTTGGTAACACTAGATGGAAATTAATCAGAAGACCCTTATTTTAGTTTCACGTTTTAAATTGCATGTTTTGACATGCATAATGTTTTGACATATATGATAATTATTTTTTGAATCAGATAGCCTTTTTGAAATCAATATTTATGTACCTGATTACAGACAGTGAGCTGCATGTTAAATTGACAAGAGTCACCAGTCTAGGTTTCCTTATAAGTAAACTCATAACGCAGTTCAGACTGCATTACATTTCATTGAGGATAGTTTACAATAAGGTGTGTACGACTTTAAACCTATCTTAAGAAACCATCACATAACATAATTTAATGAAATCCCTATGTGTGCCCAGGTTTGCACAAAAATATACTGGGTTATTCACCAAAGTGAGAATTCAAAGGGATTTCAAAGAGGATTTCACAGTTAAGACCAGAGAAGCCAAACTGAAAGCACAACTGACTTGAGAACATTTTCCAGTTCAGCTGTTTTGACCTTGAAGGGACACTATAGTCACCAAAACAACTTTACCTTAATGAAGCAGTTTTAGTGTACAGATAATGCCCCTGCAGTTTTAGCAATTAATTCTCTGCTATTTCTGAGTTACAATATTTTGTTTATACAACCATGTTGACACCTCCCTGCATGTGACTTACATAGCCTTCCCAAACACTTCCTGTAAGGAGACATCAAATGTTTAAACTTCCTTTATTGCACATTCTGTTTAATTTAGAAATTCTCACAGGATCCTTCTGTGTGTTTAAAGTTCAATTTACAGAGCATCTGATTAAATATGAAACAATTTTGCAACGGGAGGTGTAACTAGGCTGCATAAACAGAAACAAAGGCGATTTAACTCCAAAACATCAGAGAAATGAGCAGTGAGACTACAGGGACATGATCTATACACTAAACCTGCTTCGCTAAGCTAGAGTTGTTTTGGTGGCTATAGTATCCCTTTAAATCCAAAATTCACTTTTAATTCACCTTGATTTATCTTTTAGTGAATAACCCTGATGGTTTATATTATTTTGGCTGCTGGAGTGTGCTGTGGTCAAATTGGAAGAAAACTGGACTACAGTGCAGTTTTGTTTAGGAATCTGCAAAATCATCAGTCTGACCAATGACTCACAGCTTATACATTGTCTCATCAAGTCTGGCCAGCAAGTTCAGTGCTAGTTACTCAAGGGATAATTGTTGGGAAGTCAAAAAAGGGAATTCAAAGTGGGCCCAATGGTTGTTATCTGTTGTCACGTTCTCTGTTTTTGTGTTTCTATCTAAATATCGATTTTGACTACTGATCTGTGACTAAAATCAACATATAGTAACTCTCTCCTAGCCATTATCTTTTAGCCAATCCTCATTTGTTTTGGCACCACAGGCAGAATTCAGAATCACGAATCAAAACGAACATGCCCTGTCATTGCTCGTTTTGTTCAGTTTGTAATTTGGCTACATTTTGGCTCAGAGGCGGGGAAATCGAACGATCACCCGATCAGCCCAAATTCGGATGAATTGCATTTCACAACAAAACAAATCTCCAAGTCTAATCGATAGATACATGCAAACACGTCTTCATTTGTTTGAGAATTATTGTCTGAATAAAGAAAACTACAAGTATTTTATACATATTTATTTTTGTGCATTACATTTAAAATATCAGATTCCCTTGTTTATTATTAAGGCAGACAGTTGAGTCACAAAGGGCAAATGCCTTAGCTCAGTGAAAAAAAACAATACTATCCGCTTTGCTTGTTAGGAGAGAGATTTAAAGAAACAATTTTAATCAGACAAAATCAGAATGCAACGTTGTTTTGAGGCTATGGAATTAATTACTGATTTTTTTAAACAGCTGAAGTCAAGGAATGTAATGTAAATGAACCGCAAGAGCCCAAACTGGAACTTTGCCATAATAGTTCAATGACTTATTCTTGGTTGATGAAAAATGGGCAGGTTTTTGGAAAATTGCCAGGGAAAAGTTCTTCAAAGTGCTAACTTTCACCACAGTTTGGTATACGATCAGTCAAACTAGCCGATACTTAGCTTTGCATCTATTTTTATTATTTGTGATACAGAACCGAGCACTTGCAGGGTGATAGAATTACAAACATAAAGTGGCACAAGGCTTATACAATGCTGTGATTTTTTTCATGTTTTTTTTTTTTTTTTTTGTAATGCAATATTGTTTTATGTGGAGTAATTTTTTAATAAAATTTTATACAGTGTAATACGAGTCCATAATATTGGTTTATTGGGTTATTAAAATATAAGTTAATGTTCCAATGAACTGAAATTCTAGTTGAAAAGAAAATAATCTGTAATCTGGTCGGTAAGACCTTTGCCCAGTGACAGAGTGTATGATAAACTAGGGCTATGAAAATAACTTAAGTGGCTCTAGTCTTGCATGAAGACCATTGAAACACAACACAAACCCTGTAATAAATGCCAGGATTCAAACATTAAATATCAATGAAGAATGTTACCATTGTATAACACGGAGGTGTGCACCCTTTTGCACTCCAGATGTTGTGGACTTCACCTCCCATGATGCTTTGCCAGCATTATAATTGTAAGAGCATTATAGGAGATGTAGTCCACAACATCTGGAGGCCAAATGTTGCTACCGCTGAGCTAGCACATGTCAAGTAGGTAGGTTGTGGATTATTTTTATTCCATTTATGCGAACACCGCACTGGTTCATAGTGAAGAGAGAAACTCGGTATAAACCAGGATGAATAGAGGAGCCCAGTATGGACCAGGCTGAAAGAAACCCACTAACTGCCAGAACCCAAGCTTTTTATGGCCACATTAGCAAGTTCCGTAGATAACAGTCACCAACAACAACACAGTTTGAAAGAAGACAAGGAAACAATGCGTATCAGGAACAGGTAAGTTAGCACTAATTTCCCAGCAAAGAACCAGACAGAAATGAGTAGAAACAAGTAAATATTCTGCACTTAAACAGAAAGGGCAAGTCCTAGCATAAGGTATATAGGGGGACATGATATGGCTTAAGACAATAAATCAGCAGGACAAAGTAACAATCAAAGAAATGATAGATTTGCAGGATTGTACAGAAATGGTAGAAACGGCGGGATTGTATAGTGTACAGAGGGGGATTTAAGGATAATTAATTTATCTGAAAAGACCAGTTCATAACATCACACAGCATGATATGAACTGCTCTTAAAACTGGCAGCAGCCACACTGTAGCTGTTTTCAGTTTATAGACAGCACTGTTAACCGGAACTAAGTGCTCTGAGCAATTTGATTGACAGCCTTAATGGGCTGTCTTTAGAGGGCACAATTTGTACAAATCGTTGTTGTTGTAGACCACTCACAGAAATCAGGGTATGTTTAGAGGTTTTTAAGCACATTTTACTTTACAATAATGCAAAGTGCTTATTGTGCTTGGCCTTACCCTTAAATAAGTCAATTTACTCACACCCACTAGAACCAAAACTATGTTGCATAGTTAGAAGAAGAAGAAGTTAGAAGAAAAAAAAACCTATATGTACTATCATGGATTATGACATGACCTTCTAGCCAAACCTACCATTTCTCCCTGGCACAGTATTGGTTAAACTCCAGCCCTTTGTCAACTAACAATGATATAGTGAACTGTGACATACTGGCAAAATTTACTTCTACGGCCATATTGGGGCCTATAAAGAAAGCCAGATGCATTTTGACCACAACTGAATTAGGTTTTTATCTATCGATGGATTTATATAGCACTGAAACAGAGCAGACCCTGCTTCAATGTGTTAGGAACCTCTAGGGAAAACACAGAGACAACTTGAATGTGAAATAAAGTAAATTAAACTAAATTAAAGGGAAGAGGACTGAAATGTGAGGTAAGTGCTGTTAAGAAAATGCACTGCCAAAGAGTCATGTCTTCGATTTATTCAGAATTATAGGATGACCCTCTGTTATTTTGATGTTTAAAGTAGGGCATTGCAGAGCGAGCCTAACACCGTGAACTGGTGAACATTAACCACCTCATGTTGTCTTCTTGAACAATTTTATCCGAAGTGATGTAGTCCATGAACTGAGTGATTAGAAGAAGCCGCCATTATGTTGCAAATGAAGCTGCAAATTATGTTAACTCTCAAAGGTGGATTTTTCTGTATACAATGTTGAGGAGGTTAAAAGATGCTCAGTTGTGATGAGCCAGTGTCGTTTCTTGAGTTTGCCAACGATGTGGTTGTCTATGTATTTCCTTGTAATGATGTGTGTTGAGTTTTTTGTATAGCAAGTAGGGTTGAGAAAAAACAATGTGCGTTGTGGTTTTTTATAGCCTGTGAGGGTGAGAAAAGATGTATATTGTGTTTTTTGGTGTATCATTAAGTATTATAAAAATATTATACGGCATACTTAAATGATTTAAGTAAAGATGTCCCTTTATATTTTATGTTTAACTTTTTTGTATAAAAGTGTAATACGGTGTAATATTGTAATTTGCTATTAAAAGGAATAAAGAAATAACAAAGTTTCACAACTTCTCTAGGCTGCGCTTATGTACCTTACCGCTCCATTGACGAGCTTCCTCCTTGCTCCCAGTGGAAGGGACCACGCATCACATACCACAGAGAATTGTCTCATGCCTTCTCTGTCAATGCTTTCCAGCGTATGTAACTGAAACTCAATAATTGCTGTTTAAACACTTGCAGTAGTATAGTGAGTAAATTACTGAGACAGGACATAATTACATGCCATGTGATAGGTGCAAAGAAGAGGTTCCCTTCTATAGTTATTAAACGTTTCCATTAATTTACTAATAGTTTAAATTCATGCGGTGCCTTGCTGATATTCACTGCTTCGCATTATTAATTACAACAAACAATCTGGATCATAATCAACAGTGATCAAAAAGAATATAATATGCATGTAACAAACATTAATAATGTAAACTCTATCATCACTTTAATCATCGCTAATATTCCATAAAATTAATACAGAACTATTCAAATTGTCATCTTTTGATACAAAAGGCATTTGTTGAAATTCACAATGACCATTCTGTACGCATTCCCCATCCCCTTGGATTAAAGGGGAACTGTTACTTCTCTGAAAATTACAATGTTGAAATCATACAAAACATGTGATTTTTTTTTTATATATATGATATTTTTGCTTTTAAAGGTATATTAAATATATAGATGAAATTGACATTACATTCCAGTTAAATTAAGGCACAGTCAGAGCATACAATGCAAATGAGGAAGAGCAAAATTCTTTCAGGTTTATTTACTAAAGTGAGAATTCAAGGTAAGTTTAAAGTAAATTTCAAATTTAAGGTCGAAATGGCCAATCTGGAAAAATTCTCTAAGTCAGCTGTGCTTTTAATTCAGCTGCTCTGGCCTTAAATATCAAATTAATTTAGAATTTGTATTGTATTCTCTCCGTAGTTAACCACCCTGTTTCTCCTTCTCTCTCTTTGCTCTCTCTATGTTGGCTAACAGGTGCAAAGGTGGTTTTTATAACAATGTCTAACAGGGAGACGGGATGTTGGAGATGCAAACCATTGTCTGGAAATATATTCATAAATAGGACTATACATAAGACCTGAGGTCACGCATTTAGACTGGAAGAAAGGAGATTTAGTCTAAGGCAAAGGAAATTGTTTTTTTACAGTAAGAACAATAAGGATGTAGATCTGCCTGAAGATGTGGTTTTATCAGATGTTTAAACAGCAACTGGTTGACTGTTTACAAAAGCATACTATTCAGAGATGTAATTTTTAATTTGTGTGGTAATAGCCTCTTGATCAAAGGAGAGATCTGACTACCATTCTGGGGTCAGGAAGAATTTTTTTTCTAGTTTGTTGCAAAACTGTGGCTTTAAATAGTTTTTTTTTTTTGCCAACATCAACATCAAAAACAGATATGATAAGAGCTGACCTTGATGGGCAAATGGCTCCTTTTAACATTTGTAACTATAACGCTTTGTAACTATATTGAAAATTCTATAAATTAAAATGAGTGCCAATGAAGTCTAGGTTAAAGGATTATTCCAGGCTCCCAAGCTGAATTGCTTTTTGAAGAGGGTGTACTCTTTTTTCATTTTATAAAGTTTTAATAATATCTATTGAGTTAGCTACTAAACAGCTAAAAGATCTTAATAAACAAAAGCGTGTATCTTAATTTCGATCTTTTTCGGCTGCTTAGGAGATAGCTCCCTAACTTGAACTCCTTTTGTGGGATTGGAATATTTAAGGATACCAAGGATACTCAGCCCCTTCCCTAATTCAGTACCCTTAAACGTGGAAATCCCACCAAAGGGTACCAAATTAGCCACTTATTTAGTTATCTAAACCACTGAAAGATTTTTTGGGGCAATCACAGCATTCCATTCATCTGGAATTATTCTATTTTTTTTTTATGTCAGAATTCATGTGAACGAATCAATTTTTTTTGTACCATGAACAAGTCTAACACATACCACTATGATCAATATTCCTTCTAAAGCCTTTATGCACTAAACAATAAATATTTGCAGATTGGAAATTATTTGTGAAATTTGGTCGCAAACGTTGCATTGAAAAATTCAACCTGTGTTGTACATTGGCTATTTTGAGCTAAATTTTTAAACTAGGCTTACAGGTCACCAGCATTCATAGTTTAGTAAAAAATACCCTTAAGTGTTTTATTGTAATCAGTCCAAAACAAAAACGTTTAAGAAATATATATTTATAAGACTATAACCCTGTAAATGAGGCAGTCCTGCATAATATTAATTTCTTAAAAGGACTCTGCAATAGTTTATTTTTCCTAGTGACAAAGACATTTGTTACTCCCCTAGTTGATTTAGAAAGTTGTTTTATATATAACGTATAATTTAAGCAATGGCCATAACATATCTCCCAATTGTCCCCATTTAGGAGACACAGTCCCTATTTTAGGCCCAAATCTCTCTTTTCTCCCTCTTTTCTACCCTTATATCCCTCTTTTCTAGGAGTGTCATATTGTTGGTGTGTCTGAGTGTATAACAGAGTTCCATTCCTGAATTGGATATAGAATATTGGTCTTCTCACTCTATTAAGTGTATTAACAACTTGTTTTTGTCCTCTATTTTTTTTTACCATTTGAACAGCTACAAAAGAAATTCTGATAGTGTATTTTTGACGCCCCCGCACATGCGAAATTGGTTGAAAAGATTAGGGAACATTTCAAGATTTCCAACCAGGATCTGAGTTCTAGAAAATTGGAATTATCAAACTTAGAAAAGGTTTATATCTCAGATCCTGGCCGGAAACTAACCATTTTCATGTGCTATGCCTTTTTTGCAGATGAGGTAGGTTTAAAACTACCGTATATTAGAGTGACCTAGTTGAGGTATTCACAGTGGAAGATTGGCATTTATCATTGTTAGCACTAAAAGGGGTTACCCATTATATTTCACATTTGGAAACCCATTTAAACCCATTCATCTACTGTTGGTATTTCTCACCGTTTAAAATGTTTAGATCACACCTCTCCACATCTAATTTATGTTGGAGAGACTGTGGACAGACTGGTACTTTATA